TGATCACTGTTACCACAAAGTTTGAAAGCTGCTTATGATGTGAATAGCAAAATTCTTGTATACTGTGGCTTAAGAGTACCTATCTCAGTGTGCCTGGGTGGCTCAGTTCTTGATTTCAGCTCAGGTCCTGATTCAGGGCTGTGAGATCAAGCCCTACAACAGGCTCCATAGCATGGAGTCTGCTTATGATTCTCTCTCTCTCTGTCCCTCTACCTCCACTCTCTCTCTCTCTCTCTCTCTCTCTCTCTCTCTTAAAATATAAAGGAAAAAGAATACCTGTCTCTCAGAGGAAAGTGTTATAATGTTAAAGAAAAGTGCCAAATACACTGTGCGTACCTACAGTTTAATCTTTGAATGTATGTTGTTTGATCAGCTCCCTTCTGTGTGATGGTACCATGCATAGAGTCAAATCCTTGTGATGTTTTGTGTGGCTACAGACTTTGGCAACATGTAAAAAAATGTGTAAAGCAAGTTTGTATTGTTAGGGTCCGTGATCAAAGGAATGAGACTGATATAAAGCGAAAATCAAACAAAGCTTTATTTCACGCCAAGCATCAAAAATCAAACTGACCGGTCAGAGCAGTCTCTTACGAAAAGACGACGATGATGATTCCAACAAGGTCACTCCCAAGAAGGCCGCTCCGGACGAGGCTGCTCCGCAGATGAGGCTGCTCCCCGGTTGGAACTGCTCCCAAGAAGAGGCCACTCCCAAGAAGGCCGCTGCTGGTGAGGTCACTCCCCGGGCAGGGCCGCTCCCAAGAAGAGGCGATGACGACAGCGATGATGACAGGGAGGACAACACCGATGACACAGATTCTGCTCCCCAAGACGCCACTCTGACAAGGCTGCTCTGGCGAGGCTGCTCCCCAGACAAGGCTGCTCTGGCGAGGCCGCTCTGGAGGAAGCCTCTTCCCTGACGATGCTGCTTCCGCAGGGCCATTCACCGAGGAGGCCTTTTCCCTGACGAAGCCGCTCCCCGGAATGACACAGCTCCGGCGAGGCAGCGGCTCAGGGTTCCCGGCGAGGTTGCTGCCGTCTAGGCTGTTCCCCGCGGCGCCGCTGCCGAGGGTCGCAGTGTGTGGGTGGGGCTGCTGGCATCGGGGCCGCCGGTGGCTCGGGACCGCTGGCGGCTCGGGTCCGCTTGCGTTGGGACTGCCGGTGGCCCGGGCCGCCGGCGGCACTTATAGCTCTTACAAGAGCTGTTACAGCTCTTCTTCTTCTCCTGCCGACTCTTCTCTCTGCTGCTCCCACCGACTCTTCTGCTGCTGCTGCTCCCCCGACTCTTCTCCTGCTTCTTCTTCCTTCTTCTTCTTCTGACAGCTCTCCTTCTTCTCCTTTTTGCCAGCCTCGCAGACCAACCTTTATGGGGGTGGTTGAGCCCCGCCCCTACACAGGTAGCCAATTGAATCCTAATTCACCCAGTGGATATACCCACGCCACACCGATTGGACGTCTTCACCCGGCCTGCCCCGCCCCTACTTCCAGGGTCCATAAGCTAGTTCCTCTGGGAGGGGCAGGCCCTTACAGTATGATTGAGGAATCAGATTTATTGAATTTTATTATTGAAAGTTGAAATTTGACATGTATGAACAAGAACAATACTCTTTTCATGGGGGGAAAAAAAGAAACCCCTGTTGCTCAGAGGTCAACTGTATATTCCTTGATCTGCAGTGAAACAATATACTTCATCATCATAATGAAAAGACTGAGTGTAGTTTTAGTCCCCAGATGAGGGGTAATTGTATTGGGAGAAGAAGATGCGGCAAAGGCAGAGTGTGAGAAAGCTAAACTCCCCATGTGCATAATAAACAGCAGTAGCAATGTCTGAAAGTGATGAATTGGGAATTTGGAGAGAGAGAGAATCTGGGGGGCAGGAAGGAGTGAGGGACGGGGTAAGAGCTGACTTAAGAGCCAGTGTCTCAAGTTGCAAATTTCAAGGGATGCTGTTTAGAAACACTGAGGTTAATACCAGAAGAAATGACCCAGAATGAGGAGTGCCTGCCACATGTATCCCAGCATTTATTCTCTCTCTCTGGCACATATCCCGGGCCAAGCTTCTGCTCTTTTTCTATTTATTCTCCCATCAGTGCTTTGTAAGAATTCATAATTTCCCTCTGCCCCTGTTCCTTCCTTAGCACATCACTCTTACCGTTTTTCATTCTTCTCTATTTGGGAGGGGATAAATGATATCTTCTTGCATTTCTTTGATTATGTTTTTTAAGATTTTATTTATTTATTTAACAGAGAGAGACAGCCAAAGAGGGAACACAAGGAGGGGGAGTGGGAGAGCGAGAAGCAGGCTCTTCGCTGAGCAGAGAGCCCCAATGTGGGGCTCAATCCCAGGACCCTGGAACTATGACCTGAGCCAAAGGCAGATGCTTAACAACTGAGCCACCCAGGCGCCCCCATTTTTTTATTAATGGGCTTGATTTTTTTTAATCTCTCTCTTTCTCTCTCTCTTTTTTAAAAGATTTTATTTATTTATTTGACAAACAGAGATCACAAGTAGGCGGAAAGGCAGGCAGAGAGAGTGGCGGTGGGGGTGGGGGGCGGAGCAGGCTCCCCGCTGAGCAGAGAGCCCGCCGTGGAGCTCGATCCAATGACCCTGAGATCTTGACCTGAGCCAAAGGCAGAGGCTTTAACCCACTGAGCCACCCAGATGCCCCTCTCTAACTTTTTTTTTCTTTTTTTTGTTTTGAATCCATTTTGGCAAAGTGATAAATGGTATCTCACTAAATTTCTTTGATTATTAAAGAAACTGATTTTTTTTTTGTTTGTCCATTTGAGCATTCACCTGTTATAAACTTTCCCTCATCTTCCTTGGGAGTATTAATCTTTTCCTTTCTAAATTATAAAAGCTCATGTTTGGGGCACCTTGCTGGCTCAGTCAGTGGAACATGCAACTCTTGATCTCGGGGTTGTGAATTCGAGCCCCGCGTTGGATATAGAGATTACTTTAAAAAAATAAAATCTTAGGGGAGCCTGTGTGGCACAGTTGGTTGAGTGTCCAACTCTTGGTTTCAGCTCAGGTCATGATCTCAGGGTCGTGGGACTGAGACTGGTGTCAGGCTCTGTGCTAAGCTTACAGACAGCTTGAGACTCTCTCTTCCTCTCCCTCTGCCCCTCCTTCCCAAAAAAGATAGATAGATAGATGATAGATAAAAGCTTTTAAAATTTCTATTTAAAAAAATTCTCACTTTAAAAATGCTAATATTCTGGACATTAGGTATGTGGTATATGTTCCTTACTTTGGTATTATCTTTAAAGGTATATTTTTCTGCACAGAAATTTTAAATATTCTGCAGTCAAATCTATCAGCCGTTCCCTTTCCAGAGTTTGCCTTTTATGTCATAATGCTTAGTTTGGAAAATCATGAACAAAAGCAAAAACTTTGTGTTGTGTTTAGATTTTGAGAAAAACTGTCAGAAAGAGCATTTTCTTGTATATCTGCCGCACCAGAAAGCAACTATAGCACCAAGATCCCAAGACGGCTTTTTGCTCTTTAAAGACCATGTTTCTTTTAGAAGGCATAAAAAGTGGAGCACCTAGGTGGCTCAGTCAGTTAAGCGTCTACCTTCAGCTAAGGTCATAATCCTGGGATCCTGGGTTCAGGCCCTGCATCAGACCTTGGACTGGGCTCCCTGCTCAGTGGGGAGTCTGCTTCTCTCCCTGCCCCTCACTCTGCTTGTGCTCTCACTCTCTCTCCCTCTCAAATAAATAAAATCTTAAAAAAAAAAAAAAGGCATAGTAAGCTTACTGTTCTGTTGTTTCATTAACTAATATACATTTTTAAAACATCCACTAATCTTCCTGCTATTGGATAAGATGTAATTTATACAATATTCAAAACTGAAGCAAAACAAAAAACAAAAACAAAAACAAACCCTTAGTGTAGATGAAACAAAAACAAGTGACCCAGCTCCATCCCCCTGATGAGGGGCCTTGAGAGCTATCAAGATGCCACAGCAAAATTGTATTGACCTTGAAATTTTTTTTAAACCTTAAAATTAGGGCACCTGGGTGGCTCAGCAGTTAAGCAGCTGCCTTCGGCTCAGGTCATGATCCCAGGTTCTGGGATCGAGGCCCACATCCGGCTCCCTGCTCTGCGGGAAGCCTGCTTCTCCCTCTCCTACTCCCCCTGCTTGTGTTCCCTCTCTGTGTGTCTCTCTGTCAAATAAATAAAATCTTTAAAAAAAAAAGACATTAAACCTTAAAATTAGCTGGCATAAAAGCTCGTTAATTAAAAATTCATTTCCCTTTGTTAAAGACAGACTCATATTTGGACTTAGGCTTCCTTTAGGAAAAAGGAGGCCTGGGGGGCCTGGGGAGCTCAGTGGTATTAGTGTCCAACTCTGGGTTGGACATGAGATCGAGCCCTGTGTCAGGCTCCATGCTCAGCATGAAGTCTGCTTAAGACTCTCTCTCTCCCCCTCTGCCCCAAACCCCTGCTCTCTCTCTCTCTCACGTAAATAAATAAATCTTAAAAAAAAAAAAAAAAAGGAGGCCTACATGTTTGCTTATACATTAGGAAGGGCTTTTCCTGAATTGTCCTTGAAATGGTCTTTGATTTCCTTATTCCTTTCCTCACATCACCTCACCTCTCTTATTTTTTTATCTAAATTGTGGGACTTTGGCATGATTCACTCCAGATAACTTGCTTATTTATATAAAGAGGAAAGACTACCCTTATACCTGATCGTGAGATCAGAGGGACAGTGAGAATAAGAAAGAGAAAGAAAGAGGAAACGCAAAGCAGCCAAATTATTTTGTTTGTACAGGCCTGGTCACCTCAAGCCACTTGCTTCATACTCCTGACTTTCTCCTGTCATTCTCCTCCTTTCCTTTCCAGAACCAAGAACCAGCCACCTTTGTGACATCACTTCTACCGCTAAGCAACAGGTCTAGGGTTCTCCTCACTCTGTGAGCCCTAGGAGAACGTTAACCCAAGGTGCTCCAAGAAGGAGGCTCTGCTGCAGAGGGAAATAGGGGGGAGGACAGGCATGCTGCGGCTGGTCGTGGATTCAGCTACGATTAACCCGCCCCTCAGCCCCCCACCCAGACCCTGTGTGACCGCCTACTTCCGAGGTGAGAGCCAGACTCCGGGATGGGAGAGACGAGCCCCAAGAAGCAACATGCATTCGGTGAAAAAATAGACTTCCTGGGGCCTAAAAGATGCCCTGTATGACAGAAAGGCAGGGTAGATATCATCCAGTTCTTTTGAAACTTAGCTTTATTGCCATTATTTCTCCTATGAGGACATCTCTGCTTCTCATTTTTTCCAGGGGAATGGCTACGGGAAAAAGAGAAGATAAATACTTTCCGAGCTGCTTCTGTGAACTAGGGCTGTGCCACACGTTGAGGTTTAAAAAAAAGAAAGAAAAAGTACCTGCTTCACAGGCTTGATGTGAGGATTTTAAAAAAGATAATGTATGTATAGTTCTTATATAACCTCCTATAGTAACTGTTGGTTCCTAAGTGACCTTTACAGCCATCAAAGTCTTTTCATGAACATAGAATTTTTGCTCCTCACAACAATCCCATGAGGCAAATGAGGCAAAATTTATTGTCTCCATTTTTTATAGGTAAGGGAAAAAATGTCCAAGGAGGTTGGCGGGGGCGGGGGGTGGTGAAAGGATTTAGGAGAAAACACGAAAAGAAATCAAGGGTGTCTCCAGAACACAGAGCTGGGAGTGGGAATGGAGGAAGGGTAAGAAAATTGACAGTCTGCTGGTGGCAAGCAGAGGGAGGTGGATAATGGCGAATGAGGTTTCCCAGCATGTGCGGAGACTGAGAAAATTGGGGCCGAGAGAAAGAAGGCACAGTTGTTTCTGTAAAAGATATGGAGTAAAGAATGAAGTTCCTTAATTTTTTTCTGTACTCACTGAGTGTGACAACACCCCCTGGAGAATGGACATTTGGGACTCTAGGCTCACAGAGCAATCCATATGTGTTTATGTCCCCAGATTTAGAGAGGCACAGTGGACGTTCCATGTGTCTGCCGTGAGCCAGGGAACAGGCTGAGTCTGAGACTTCTTTCCTACCATCCCATGGATGTGATCTTTCTCCTCCTAGAAATACCTCTTACAAAGATGCCTAAGTCCCTGACTCTTGGGTTTGCCCAGAGATTTACCTATAAATTCTTATAATTGAATATATTTTTTATTCCCTTTTCACCTTTCCGAACCCCTTTTCCCTCATATACCATCCACTACTCTGCACCCCTCCTGACTTCCTCACAGGTGCATGCTTGCACACACTCTGTCTCTCCCTCTTCCACATTCTTTCCTTGAGAAGAATCTCTAAGTAGTTGAGCAATTTAGAGGTTCTTTGCAGGGCTATTTTGTGAAAGATATTTGTGGATGAGGAACTTACAACCCATTAGAGATGTTTTGGCATGTCTTAGGATCCACTAGGCTTTGTGCTCTGGTAACAAATAAATCTTGAGATCTCAATGCCTTAACACAGTGAAAGTTTACTTCCTACACCAAATCCTGCATCAGGGGGGCAGTCATCTCAGGTGGCTCCCCCAAGCAGTGGTTTAGGGACCAACTGCTCACTGCTCGTGGCTGCAAAGTCATCCTGGCACCACTCTGCCCACAGATGGTGAGGATGGTTGTGTGGAGCAGGGAGAGGAAAAGCGTCATGGGAGATTTTTAGGAGCTAGTTGTGGCAGTGGTGAAAATCACTCCCACGTTGCATTGGCCAGAGCGAGTCTCCAGGTACCACCTGGCTGCAATATGGCTAGGAACTACATTCCAGGGAAGAAAATGAAGTGAACGCATTATCTATCATGTCAGATGATGTTACCCTTACAAAAAGTGAAAATTCTGAAATCCCCAGAGTAAGAATCCATGTCATACCACATCTGTGAACATGGACTTAAAGTGTTCCTGGAGTCCTCCCTCTCTTTACCACACTTAAACCTAGACTTTGAAATATTTCCTACCACCAGTGACAGCCCCTTGGTATCTTTGCAGATATAAAGAGGAGAACTCATGAAGCAGAAGGGAATAATCCCATATGGAATGAGGTAAAACCCATCAGGACAAACGCAAAAGAAGCAATGACTACCCCAAGAGTGAGGTTGGGTCCTGGCCATGCTCAGAATTCTAGAGAGAGGCCAGGGAGTGGCATAAGCTTTCCTCAAGGGTGTCTGGGCCTGAGAGTAGCCCCCGAGCTATATGGCTATGCGGGCCTGAGGGCCCATAGCTGTTCTTGGCCCTTCTCCTCTATTCTGGGGATGGACCATGATAGGGCCCATCTTGTCCAACCTGGTGGTCCTGATGTTCCCAGAAACCTGAAGTAGGGACAGGTCTCTCTTGAGGGAGGTTCTCCAGTTCAAGAGAAACACAGCCCGTTCCCTGCATCTTTCCTTATTTTCTGGAAGGTTGGGAAGGGGAAGGTGGAGGATGGATGCTGACCTCTCTGTGCCTCCCACAGACCCTGATCTGGTACCTCTGGGACTGCCCCCTACAAAATGACTCTTTTCTGCAAATCATCCTTCGGGACGTGGGCGCAGCAAAGAAAGACAGGTGAGGCAGAGAAAGGCAGGAGGTTGTCTCTCTCACCAAAGCTACAGCACTTGCTGCAATTCCTGGCTCGAATCCATAACTTACTCGGGTGGCATGGACAAGAATCCACTCTAGCCAGCTAATGGGACCAAAAAAAAAAAGTGCCGGGGGGGGGGGGTGTATGGGAGGGTGATGGGGCTGGGAGGGCAGAGCAACCAGAATCAGGAACCTAGGAAGCCAGGGGCAGTTCTGCCTCTTCTGAAGCCACAGGCTCTTACATCTCTGCATCTCTCTGCCCAATCCTGGCTTCCTGTGATGGCCCCATTCTAGTGCCCAGCGGAGACCAACATCCAGCTGAGACTGAATCTATAGCATCCCAAGTCAAAATTCCTAGGACGGAGAATCTGATTGGCCCAGCTTCTATCAGATGTCCCATCCCTGGTCCAATTGGTGGTTACTTGGGACTGTTTCCATTCAAGAGTAGTTTGGGAGAAGAACTCCTGAGAAGGGGCTGAGCAGGGCAGAGCCAGTAACTGGGGCACACACTTCTCAGAGCCCCAAAGTCATTCTCAGAGATGTGAGAGCCCTACATCTTCTGGTGGGTTCTCTACATCATTGTGTCCTTCCTGCGGCCTCATTCCGTGGGCAGCACAGCCCGTAGCAGAGAAAACCCTCTCTAGATAAAGTCATGCCTGGGACAGAAGACACCCTGTCCCCTGACTTTGGATCTCATACATGTTCCTCTTCTCCCCAGATTCATTGGGCTGGCCACAATACTGCTCCAGCCCTTGGTGAAAAAACCGAGTGAGGTCCTTTCTTTGAAGGACATGAACCTGCTTAACCATCTCATGCTGTCCACAAATGTGAGTTGGGCCCCAGGAACAGTGGCTGGCAGAGTGGGGGCAGCCAGTGAAGCTAGGTGACTCCACATTAGCAGAGGCCCAGTGACCCCACCAGAGAGCACTTCCTTTCCTAGGAGGCCTCATCACACTGCCAGCATCTCCCTGACCACCCTATTCCACCATCCATCCTCCTACCCACCCTCCCATCCCATATCCATCCTTTTAGATTGATTAGTCAATTGTCCATTGGATGACAGCACCTGTGTTAGGCCTGGGATACAAAACTGAATGAAGACCATGGTCCATTAGAGTAAGCACACTCTCAGTGACAGTGCTCCAGCACAAGGGTCAGGAAGGCTAGGTCACTGGGGACAGGAGGAAGTGAATGATTCCATGTGGGAGGTCACAGAAGGCTTCATAGAGGGCATGATTAAGGTAAATGGAAACAAGCAAAGACCAACCAGTGGAGGAGAAGCAAAAGCTATTTATGCAGAACTGGCCAGAGCAGCAGTATCAGCCACCATCACTCGCATTTTGGCAGAGACTCAAAGGCAGATAGAGGAGGGGAGAAGCTGTACAGTGGAAGCAGGGAAGGCTCCCAGTGTGCCCTGATGGGAAGCCGTTGGTCAGGGGAAGCTGTAAGTGGACCAACTAGAAGCCAGGCATCCCATGTGATTGCTTAGAGGTGTGTGTTTGGCTTTCTCTGGCTGGTCCTGAGTGGGAAGAAGGGACAAAAATTAGGGAAGCTGTCAGTTGTGAATCAAGTCCTCTATCAGTTGGGGCCACACAATTGGAGCCAGTTGTGACAGAGGCCATTGTTTGAGGCGTACTCTGACTTCTACAAGCTGACTTAGAGAGAACAGGCTGGCTTCCTGGGTGGGTTATTGCAGATTTGTTGGGCTGGTTTCCTGAATTCATGGCTGCAGACTGTGGGTCAGAGTTCCATTTTTATATAAGGTCTGGTCATTGTCCATTTGTTTATTCAGTTTCTCAAGGGGCATGAGTTTGCAACACAGACGGGAAAGGAAGAGAATCCCAGACAAGGGTGTGAGGTACATGGGTGAAGGCTGGAGGGAGAGAGAGGCAGGCTGTTGGTTCGGGGAGGGTAGGTTGCTGTACTGCTGCGACACAGGGGTTGGGAGGATGTGAAGGTGGTGGTGGGATTGCTGAGGCTAGCTGAGACCAGGGGCCAGAGGTAAAGGGCTTTATGGTCTATGCTGGTGAGTTGTGATTTTACTCTGATCGGTTAGGGCACTTTTTAGGGGGCAATTCTGGCAATGGTCTAGAAGTAGGATGAGTGTGTAGTCAGACACTTGGAGGAAGGAGGTCAATTAAGAGGTATTTGCAGGAATCCTCTCTTGAGGTCAGGAGATGTTGAGCTAGCAGAAGAGCTGTTGGCATCAGTGGTTCTGGGCTGGTCCCAAGGCCCCTCTCCCTCTCCTCCCTACTCTGCTGTACCTCCTTGTCACCACCACTGCTTCATGTCTCTAAACCTATCCAGGCTGGGCAAGTTTCCAGTGTTAGGACTTGACCAAGGATTGCAAGATCTGGCTTACAGCCCCTTTGCCTTTGCCTTGCAGTGCACCGTCACCCTACATGTGACCCTTGAGAGAAAACAGTATACATCGAAATTAGGTATGTCCTTGGGACTTACCCCTGTTCGTCACCAAACATAGCTGGATAGGCTCTTTGGGACCTTTAGGACCTATCCCTTAAGGCCTACAGAAGGACTGTGACCAGGTTAAAGTCTAGAGGCCAATCTCCAGATACCTGGCTGAGTTTTCCACTTGTCGTCTCTAGACATAAGGCCAAGCCTCCAGTGTGCTGCAGAGGGAAGCAAAGATGGCCATTTCCAAGAGCCCTCATGTGTAGAGTGTGGGGCCCAGGGTTACTGAGGGTAAGAAGGGGCCCATGGGAATGTTCTGGGGAGGATGTGTGCCCCTTTCAGGACTTCTAGGCCATGGTTTTAGTCAGAAGCTAGTCAATGGGGATAGAACAATGAAATGGGCATAATGCCTCAAAGCCTCCCTAACGCAGCCTCTGAGGGCCCACCCAGATTGTGTTTCCCCAGGTGATGACGACCTCCTGGGCCCAAGTGCCCAAGAGGTGGCCAGGCAGAAACTGATGGTCCCTGGCTCCGGCATGCCCATGGCTCTGTCCTCGAAGCCTCAGCACTTTCAGGTGAGGATTCTGGGCTGATTTACCTGACACTCTCATTGTGATCCCAAGCTGTCCCCGTCTCCCTGCAAGGTCGTGGCAGAGGGCCAGAGCTACAGGTCCTCAGAGCCTCACTGCTTCCCCTGCTCCTCCCGGGCAGTTCTGAGCCACTTCTGCAAGAAACGGAAGCTAGAGACAACTCCGGGGTGGCCACAGGAGGCACTGTTGGCTGTATGTATACCAATAGGCCCTGGCAAGTGCTGGGGAGGCATAATGAAAGACCTGGAAGAGTCCTCAGGATTGTTGGCAACACAAGGCTAGCCATGTGCAGGGCAAAATGAGCTGTATGGGAAGGGCTGAGGAGAGTTCCTGCTATGACTTCTGGAACCCTCATCCCATGGCTCAGCAACTTCCCTCTGATCTGTAACTTGTAACCCAATATTTCTGCTACACCTTCACCTGCTCTCCAGCCTGCCACCTGCCAAGGAGACTGGGTGTTATTCTTGACTCCTTCTTCCTCACCCTATCCCCTGCAGCCAGTCAATGGCCAAGTCCTAGCTCTTAATATCACCTAACTCTCCCCACCTCTCCATCACCACTTCACTTCCTTGACCTGAGCCACCACCATCGTGTCCCTGGACCACTCATAAGTTCTTCCTGAACTCCCAGCCTCCAGCTCTCTCCTGTCCATCCTTCAGCCAATGGGATCTTTCAAAGATGTCGTTCTTACCATGCCATGCACCTGCTTAAAAATGTCCTTAAAAATGAGGATACCCAGGGCGCCTGGGTGGCTCAGTGGGTTCAAGCCTCTGCCTTCGGCTCAGGTCAGGATCCCAGGGTCCTGGGATCGAGCCCTGCATCGGGCTCTCTGCTTAGGAGGGAGCCTGCTTCTTCCTCTCTCTCTCTCTCCGCCTGCCTCTCTGCCTACTTGTGATCTCTGTCTGCCAAATAAATAAATAAAATCTTTAAAAAAAAAAAAACTTAAAAAAAAATGAGGATATCTATGACAGATGGTAGCTACACATGTGGTACCGCACACATGTGGTAAGCATAGTATAACATCTAGTTGTCAAATCACTATGTTATAGGCCTGAAGCAAATGTAATATTGTATGTCAACTATACTTTAATTTTAAAATATAAAATACAATGAAAATTTTTTAAAATGAAGATGCTCTTAATGTCCTCCGGACAAAACCCAAACTCGTTACAATGGCTTCCCAGGCCCTTGATAACACAAGCCTACCTCTGCAAGCCACTCTGTCTCCTGCCTCTGCCCTTCCCCACCCTGCTCTAGTATCCTGGACATCTTGCAGTCCCCATTCTCAAGCCTTTCTCTCTAGCTGCTAGGTCTTTGCACATGCTGTTCCTCCTTTGGAGTACCTTCCTTTCCTCTCCTCTGGACCCCATCTCTTTTCATCAGGCTAGTTTGCCCAGGATAGACGGTCATCATGCCCAAATTACTGCTTTTCCTCTGTCCTAGAGGTTAGGGCAAAATCCTGTCGTGCAACCTGTTTGCCTGGTTTGGCCCACTCTTGTCTCTGAGGGTCCAGCTGCACGCGTATCTATCCCTGAAGGGTTGCTGGACTTGCTAGAGATACGGGACACCTCATGGAGAAAGGCCTAGCCACAGCTTGAGCTGGGAGAGCTGGATGTTGTTTACTACTCACAGTCAGATGACAAGCTCCCACGCCTGTGCCCTGCTAGCCATGGCCATCTCCAGTTCTTTCTCCCCCTAGGCCTCATCCAGCCAGGGTCTCTCCTGGGCTCTGCATTGCTCTCCCCCTCCTGCCTTCTAGTTTGAGGCTCAGATGTCATAGCCCCTTTACTGAGGCCCAGTAAAGTATATAAAGGGGAAGAAGAAACCGCAAATCAGAGAGTCAACCACAGATTGGAGATTCAATGGCATGGAACTTTAAAACTCTCAATTCTCTGAAAAGATCATAGATAAAAGTAAAAAACAAAACAAGGGTGCCTGGATGGCTCAGTGGGTTAAAGCCTCTGCCTTCGGCTCAGGTCATGATCCCAGGGTCCTGGGATTGAGCCCCGCATCAGGCTCTCTGCTCAGCCGGGAGCCTGCTTCCCCCTCCCTTTCTGCCTGCCTCTCTGCCTTCTTGTGATCTCTCTCTCTGTCAAATAAATAAATAAAATCTTAAAAACAAACAAAAAAACTGGGAAAGATTAGGCTTCATTTCTGTATTCTGTAACAAGCCCATTGCAATTGAAAACCACTAAGTAACACAAGATGAAAAGAACAAAGCAGTGGAGGGGACAGTTCCCAGAAGAGGAAAAGAGGAGGAGCCATGGCCTTCCTAGAACTTACCTTCAGGCAGGAGGAGTCCAGTTCTCTGTGGGCTCCTTCCACCCCAGTAGATGCCTCTTATCAGAACACTTTGTTCTTTTAGAGGAGAGTCCCTGTTGAAGAAGGGGGCCCAGACCCCTACCTCAGGTGCCCCCATATTCCCCCCATAGGTCCGAGTGAAGGTATTTGAAGCCCGACAGCTCATGGGCAACAACATCAAGCCGATGGTGAATGTGGTCATCGGAGGCTACCAGTACAACACGCGGATCAAGATGGGAAACAACCCTTTCTTCAACGAGGTGGGCTGCACATGCCCTTTAGAACTGAATGGGGCAGTTGGGCCAAGGGGGGCAGCCAGGGGCTAGCTGGGGGCTGGGCATTTCCTGCAGGCATCAGGCAAGCTTGCTTCTTCCACAAACATTGGCTGAGCATTTACAGAGAGCCAAGAACTGCTTGGCACTGAGAATACAGACAAAATCATTTGAAACCTCCCATTGGAGGAGCCAGCAGTCTTTGGGGTGGTTGTGGGGGGATTGGCCTGTGAACACATAGACTATGATAATGGCGCAAAACTGGGGTTAACAGATCTGGGGGCACTGTTAATGCAGGCCCAGACCATTACATCTTGCCACTGCTAAAGCCCTAAGCTATAGCATTGGGCTGATCACAGTTGGAGGTCCATAACTACTCACTGAATTAATTGGTAAATAGGCCAATAGATAATAGTATGGTGAGAGTAGGGAGGAATGGGGAGACTCCGGAAGAGCTTCCAAAACCTTGAAGGAAGAGTCTACCAGGGAAAGAGGGACATCATGGAGAAAGAAAATTCAGGAAAAAGCAATAGTGTCTTCAGAAGCCTAGAAACAAGAAGTAGCAGAACTTGGCAGAACGGTAGATATGGCTGCAGTCAGAGGGAAGGCTGCAAAATGCGCTGGGACCCTGTCACAGATGGCACTTGGGAGCCATGGAGGGAGTTTAGGAGGAGAGTGATGGGGCCAGGTTTGCATTTAGAAAAGATGGTTCTGGCTCAGCAGAGGCTGGAGGTGCAGTGGACTGACAGGGCAATCTAGAAGGAGGCAGAGGCTCGGGTCTGTATCCCAGGCAGCTAGCTAGACCTTGAGCCGCTCTTGACAGATGCTCCTGGAATCCCCTGCCCCTGCGCTTTACCCTAGCAGAACCCCCTCCAGGAGCCTGGCAGGCCCCTGCTTCTGGAGGAGGAGCATGAGCATGAAATGGGCAAGAGCTGGAGAAGAAGCATTCTAGTCTGAGCCTTCAGACTAACCGAGTCCTTGGGTGAAGTGGTGGAAGGAATATCATCCAACCCCTCCTACCTCCTTTCCCTCTGCTTCAGATCTTCTTCCAGAATTTTTATGAGGTACCTGCTAAGTTATTTGATGAGACCATCTTAATCCAGGTGAGGAGCCAAATAAGGTAGGCCCACCTTCTTATCCCATCTCAATTCTGGAAAGGACTTCAGCCTCCCCACCCCACCGTTAGAGCCAGTCACTTCAGATGGTCCTTCTGACCCCAAGGCACAGCCTCTACCTCCTTCATCACTCCCCGGCAGCCCAGACTCCCCATTCATCCATTTAACAAATCCTATGGAATCCCAACTGTTAGACCCTAAGCTGGGCCCTGAAGGGAAGAAAATAGCCCTTCCCATGTGCCAGGATTCCCATGCCACCAAAGAATCCTCAAATGTCCCCTCAACATGGGACATTCCATTCCCCAACCAGTGGGACCCCAGTAACAGTGATGAACGTGTTTATCAGGTGCCTTCTGTGTGCCCAGCACAGGGCTAAGGAGAACAAAAAGGTCTCCCCCTTGAAGAGTATGCATGGTCTTGGGAACACAGGTACATGGTAAACTATCAGGACAGCGGGTAGTGGAGAAAATTGAGTGCAACACTTTGCTTTGGGCTGACCTTCGGGTTCATCAAATGAATTGGACCCTCTGATCAATCTCCTCATCAGTAGAATGGAACTAAAATTCTGAATCTCACAGGATATTAAGAAATCAATGAGAATTAGAAGGGAAAACCTTTGTGGAAGCATGAGTCACTAGGAAGTATTGAGCAAATCCTAGAGAATCCCTACAAGTCCTCCCACAGGGGTGGGAGAAATAGGGGAGGTGAATAACTGATATCTTTCTGCAGGTGATGAATTCCACACTGATGAGATTCAACTCAGAGATCGGGAGATTCCAAGTGAGCCCTGGATGAAGGAGGAGGTTTGGTGAAACAGTTATAGAGACCCACCATGGGCTCCATGCCCAATTTTAGAGGCAAAAACTTGAATTTTCAGGCAGAAATATCCAGATTTGGATCCACCTACGAAATGGGTTGATTTAAACAAGTTATTCAGAACCTCTACTTCCTCATCTGTACAATGGAATTGATGATATTCTCAAAGTACAGAGTCCTTGTAAGGATGAAAGTGTGTACCATTTATGGAAGAGCTGGGTGCCATTTCGAATTCCCCACATTAAATACTATCGGCACACTTCAAATCTCTGCCTCCAGGAAATGGAAGCAGAAAGTCTAAAAAGGCAGAGAAACACAGAGAAAATTGCCGCCTATGAGAATAGAATAAAAATGTTTGCTTTGGGGGCTCCTGGGTGGATCAGTGGGTTAAAAACCTCTGCCTTGGGCTCAGGTCGTGATCCCAGGGTCCTGGGATGGAGTCCCGCATCGGGCTCTCTTCTCAGCGGGGAGCCTGCTTCCTCCTCTCTCTCTGCCTGCCTCTCTGCCTACTTGTGATCTCTGTCTGTCAAATAAATAAATAAAATCTTAAAAAAAAAAAATGTTTGCTTTGGAAAGACACAGGCTGAGAGAGGAGGAAAGTTGACACAGTCATGAAGGGCTAAAAAAGATTCTCCAGATCCAGGAAGATTGGGAAAAGGTAGGGTTGCCAGATTAAACACAGGACGCTCCAATAGATACTTTTTAAATATCAGGATGCCCCAAATATTGCATGGCTTCTCACAAAATATTGCAGGAAACCTACATATACTAAAAATTAAGTCGTCATTTATCTGCAGTTCTTACTTAAGTGGACATCTATATTTTTATTTGCCAAATCTGGCAACCCCTGAAAAAGGCTTCCACCTTGGGAAAGGCACATTTAGGACAAATCAAAGTAAGGTTTCTTTCTCACAACTTGTAATAAGCACATGGAGAGTCATGACCTGTCCCTTAAAGAAGCATCATTGGCAGGGCACCTTGGTGGCTCAGTGGGTTAAGCATTTGCCTTCAGCTCAGGTCAGGATCTCAGAGTCTTGGGATTGAGCCCCACATGGGGCTCTCTGCTCAGCGGGGAGCCTGCTTCTCCCTCTGTACTCTCTGTCTCTCTCTCTCTCTCTCTCGATTAAATAATTAATATCTTTTTTAAAAAGGGGGGGTGCTTAGAGATTGTGAGATTCCAGAGAGGTTAGGTAGCAGGAGGTTAAAATTGTTGTGCTTTCAGAGACCACTGCACAATTTCCAGAAGTGACCAGTGGTACGAACTGTTAAATAAGTTACAGACATGAGGGGCACCTGGGTGGCTCAGTCTGTTAAGCATCAGACTCTTGATCTCAGCTCAGGTCGTGATCTCAGTGTTGTGAGATCAAGGCCCACATTGGGCTCTGTGCTCAGCAAGGAGATTCTTGCTTGAGATTCTCTCTCTCCCTCTCCCTCTGCCCCTCTCTGGCCCCCGCCTCTGTCTCTCAAATAAATAAATAAATAAAATATTTTTAAAAATAAGTCATAGACATGACAGAAAGTAAACCTTTTTAAACAACTACTTCTTTGGAAAATTTCAAAAATACACAAAAGCAGAGAGAATAGTATCCTGAGTTCCCACATCCCAGTCACTCAACTTCACTAATTCATTGCCAGTGTTGTTTTGTCTACACCACCTGCTGGGTTATTTTGAATCCAATCTCAGATATCATATCATTTTATTTTTAAATGCTTCAGTATATATTTCTAGAATGTAAAGATTTTTATTAAGCATAACCAAATGTAATTATCACATTTTAAAACCTTTCCAATTCCTGGATAACATTAAATACTAGCCAATGTTCAAATTCCCCTAATCATCTTTTTTTTTTTTGACTATTTTTTTTAATTTTGTTTTTAATAAACATATAATATATTTTTATCCCCAGGGGTACAGGTCTGTGAATCGCCAGCTTTACACACTTCACAGCACTCACC